ACTTGGTCGCTTTGGGAGATGTGGGAGAAGCAGACACATACGACAACAGAAAGCTGGCCCAGATGGCCAAAGATTTTAAACTGCAAGATTTGTAATACAGAAACAGTGATCAATTAAGTCTTCAAGGATTCTAGTTTTCTTGAAGATGGCTGCCTCAGTGGAAGTACAACTAGAATCAGGAGCCCCCTTTTCAAGCCAGCCCAAATCCAACCTTTACACCACAAGCAGGTAACAAAAAAACCTAACAAAAAGACATCTCTAAAGCAAAAGTTCTTTGTTCAATAAGTTTGGTCATCTGAAAAACAAAACTTAAAAAAAAGGTGAAAAAAGCTGTTAAACTGTCCAGTCAAATTAAAGTAAACGTGATCATGTGCTGTGACTGAATGAGAAACTGGAAAATGAAAACGTGTTTGACAGGTGCAATATGGATCGCCTTCTGTTCTGTTCACTGTGTTCATTTGTGATGCTGGATGTTCTGCAGGTACAATGTAACTGGAAAAGTGGGATTTTGTGCTCCAGACTAGTTCTTGTTAAACATAAGATCAAGGTGGTTTCCTTTGAGAAGCATTTGAAAAGAAAGACTTCAAAGTCATCACCAGAAATATTTGCAAGCAAAAGATTAAATGCCAAGCAACAGGTTTGGAATTCTACTTTAAGAGTGCAGAATTTCATCGAGTTTGAACAACTTGGATAGCTTGGTGTCCTTTGTACTTCTAGATCACATGCAACAGCGGTTGTAAAACAGTTTATAATGTGTTATGGCTGAACAAATAACTGTAAGAAAAAGCAGTTTGAAATGAATGAAACTGGCATTTTGTGAGGTGAAATTACATTTCTCCTACTCTGAATGCCAAGGACCATACTTTGGCACAGTTTTCCATTCATGTAAGCAAATGCAGATTGCAGGATCACTCCCCCTAGGCTCCAGAGTAGTCCCAATCAAAGGCAGGTTTTGATTACTCAACTGAGGACCATGTAAAACCCCACAAATGTTACATCACTTGAGAACATGACAGTACACATAAATAATCCTTAGGCAGGAGCATGATCTTACACAATGATTCCCAGACATTTGGAAGATGAGTATTCACTCCATTCACTAAAACAATTGTGCCTTCCTTCAGCTCCATCCTGTCAGCAAGGCAGCGCACAGGTTTACACTGCCACCTTTCTGCAGCACCCTGAGTAATCCTAGCTGTCCTCTCATGCTCTGGGTGAAGTTAACCTTCTACTTTACTCAGATAATTGAGAGAAGGCCTATTGCTGGGATAATGTGCATGAGCAATATTTTAACCTCCTCAGAAACATGTGGCCAAATCTCAGAATAAACCAACTTAAAATGAACACTGGGGAATAACATACTTATCCCACAATTATAGCACTCCCCCTGGTTCTGTTACGCTGTTCAGTGTACTCAGTTCTGGCTTTAGAAAAAATTGAATTTATCTTTTTAATGTGAAAAAACAGAAGGAACCATATAAACCAATATGCAGTGTCCTAGTTAATTCAGTCTTACAGAATACTGTCTCCAGCTGAATAATATCAGAAAAAAATTGTATTAACTCACTCTGTTCATCTAAGATGGAGGGTTTAAAGAATAATTGGATCCATTTATATTTACTAGGATAGAAGATGACCCCTAATAATTAGACTCTATATATAGAAATTTTATAAATTTGTTATACTTTTCCAGGTATAGAATCTAATTTTGGAGGTTTCCCTTGAATTTTCCCCCTTCCCACTACTTCAGCAGGGAAAATAAATTGGAGGTGGGGATGGGGCAGGTAGCCCTTTGCTCTGCTTCACCCAATTGATTTCCTCTGGCAGCCTTTTAGTCTTCTCCTTATATCAGACCCTGCTCTCCCTAAGCAGTTGGAAGTAAGGAGCAAATTTGGAAAAACAACCCTTGAAATTAAACATGGACTAAAGGTGATGGTGACAAGTGCATAAGCGCACAGGCACACGGGAACATGGGGGCATGGATTTGTGGTGCAGTCTTGGTAAGGGAACAAAGAATTTTGTAACTGTAAAAGTGTGTTTTGTGGTCTGTCAAGTGAGCCACAGTGGTCACAAGACAGGCTGGTAGAGGTATAGTTATATATATACAGAGACAGTAAGACAGAGAGAAAAAAATTAATATTTTTTGCAAAAAAAAATTGTGGTAGTTTCCCATCAGCATTTTTGGCACCGGGGAGGATGTTGGAGCTTGCTCCAGCATCTCCAAGTGCTGGCCTGGTATTGTAGTACCTCCAGGCTGGTGCTCATTCTCCTCTCGGAGAGCATTTGCTGCTTTTGGCAGTGATTGAATGATAGACAATGTATTTAGAGAGCTATCCTTGTATAAGATTATAAAACAAGGGACTTTTTTCTCTGTGCTAATGGGGAGGGCGCACCTTGTCTTGCATTCAGGTAAATACAGTAATGATAATATTATGCATGGACAAATAAATACTACAAGCTCAATTCTGCAAATCTTTGCTCATGCATATAATCCTTATGCACATGAATATTCCAACTGATTTTGTGGGAATACTCAAGTTAATAGAGAAGTTTGTGGGATGGATCCAGTTAAGTGCAGGGTTTTTTTTGGCGGAATGAGGTTCTTTTGTGTGTGGAGGGGGATGTTTTGCACAGTTCAAAATAAATCAGGATTTGTGAAAATTAAGCTTCTCACAGTAGTATTATCTAACAGTGTTAATTATCTAGGTTTCCCTGTGTAGCTGCTGATATAATTTTTAAGTAATTCTAGAAAGAATAATGTACGGCCATTTGCCCATGTAACAAGAGAAAGCAACTGAAAATATTACTTGTGTGAACTGTGACCAAGTGAGAGATGGATCCTTTTCTATAGGATCCTTTTCTTTTTTTTTAATTGAGCCATTTATCAGTTATATTAACATAGAGGTTATTTTTGCATTATTTGTCTAACTAGGCTCTTAGTTTTGGATTAAACCTGTGTAAAGAAAAACATTATGAATATTAGTGCTCAGGAGAATGTGTTACTCTGCTCCTTAATGTCAAGCAACATCTAAACCTGCACTGAAGTTTTAAATCTAAAATTTCCTATGAAAATACAGAACATTACATTTCAAAGCTAATGCTAATCCTGCAACAATGAATATGAGGCTATTTTTACATGTATTCTGCTTCACAAGCAAAATATATGCACAGTTAAAATCCATTAAACACCCAAACCAGCTATATTTTAAATACAACATATTATATATTCATTGTAAAAAAAAATTAAAGCATAGAATTAAATATATTTAACAATTACATGATAATATTATATACATTTAATAAAACCCATATAGCTTTTAATCACTTTCTTTCATTGCAAGTTCAGTTGTGAACACCAAATATTTTGGCAAATTGCAATTACACAAGTATGTAGGGGAATTTTATTACACTGAGGATAAGATCCTGAAGCCAATATGAATATAGCTGGAAGGTTTGCAAGATACTGAGAAAAACACACAAGTAACTAATATATGAAGTAAAATTAAGGGGATGACCAATATAAATGTTTGCAAATACAAACAAGCAATATATTGACACACCTAAAAAAAAATAGCAAAATAATAGATAACATTTTAAAATCACTCAGAATACATTAATACTTTCACATCGTCAATCACCACCACATTAGGAATATTTATTAAAAAGGCAATATGAAAGTGATTTTAGTAATGTGTAATAGATTTCCACACAACTAGTGTAAGACAAACATCAGACATATTGATATGTTTATATGAGTGCAATGAGCATATTTTGCCATTAATACTTGAACATAAAGCTTAATTTTCTTTTTGTGGGGCAGATGTTTTTGGCTCAACCATCTCAGAGTTGTTTCAAGAAGTACAGTTTCTTATTAACCCCCGGGGAGAATGCCCTACTTATTCTGTAATTTAATTATACAAGAGAGCCGTCAGTAATCCCAACATAGCAAATCTCTCTTAAAGTTTTTATGCCTATTATAAAAGTTTCTAATCAGGAGGACCAAAAATGTTTGCCTTGATTTCATTAGAATGATGGGAATACATTTTAGTAATTCTAAGCGCTCCTTCATGTGCTTATTAATGCACATTAACAATTAAGGTTTGTTAATTGTGCAGGTAGGGCCCCCATAAAGTATTTTATTAAACTGAAAACCTGAAACAAATGTGACCATGGTATTTTATTTCAGAAAGTTGTTATAAATACTGTATAGCAATTACATGTGGGCAAATAAGATTTAAAAGATTCAAAGCAAACAAACAAACAGCTCAACAGATTTGAGTCAGTAATTTGCCCCTGAGTCTGAGATTCAACTTGAGGTCTTCAGAGAGTCCAATGCAAGAAAAGCAGTCATCCAGCATGTGCTCTCCAAGGTCCACAGCACCACTGGTATACAGTTGGTTGTCCTGGATGCCCCAGCCATGCCTTAGCATCTGTCTTGGCACAGTGGATCCCACCTTACCTGAATCTTTTAAGCCAGCTGTTAGGGGCAGCATAGGAGCCCAGAACCAGCCTGGAGATGACATGGAGATCCTGGTAGAGACAGCAATGAGCTGACCAGGGTTAAGTTGATCTAAATGCCTAATCATGCACCCACTGTTGTCAGCTGAATGGGGAGTGCATAAGACTTCTACTGTACATTTGGCAATGAGATAGACACTATATATCCTTGTGCAGTGGAAGGGGTGGTATCTACTGTACCTTGGTGGTCAGTTTGCTGACTTGAATTCTGACACTGATGTTATATGGAAGAATGTTAGCTAGGTCTGACTATCACGCAAGTAGCTTCAATGCTATTCTGGTAATTGTCATAGTGTGATGCAGCTGTGTCAACTAGACCAGTGGAGTAGGACATGCCATTCACCAAACGAGTAATAGAAGACAAGCTCCAAACTATGCAGCATTTACGACCTGGTTCTCTATGTATTTACAGCACTGTAAATACTGCACAATAGATGACATTCATGTTGGGCTCACTGCTTTAAAAGTCACAAGACAGATTACTGCTGTGCAGTGTATATTTGAGGCAAAAGTTAGGTAAATTGATAGGACAGAGGCTGAGCATCACACGTTTGAACATTTGTTCATGTAGAAGAAAGTAATGATCAATATTTTACGTCAGTAATATAAAACATGGAAGAATTTTGCAAGTGATCCTTACCCATGCAAATCATCTATAGAAGCATAAAGGAGCCAGTCATTACCAGAACAAGATGTTTGCTTTTCCGAAGTCTTTTGTCTAACTAATATACTTACAGCATTCGAAGTTAACACTATTTCATACAGGAATTGCTGAACAACTGAGGTTCCTTTTGTGTCATGATGGTTTACTGGGTAACTTGGCAAAAGCACCTGACAGCTAAGAATATGCACTCCTCTCAGCAGAAGTCATATGTAGCATAATAATACTGGGAGTGCAGTGTGCACCATGAAAAAAATTATATGATGACCCAGTCCAAGCTGATACAGACAATAGCAATGAGACCACAATCTTAGAGACAAAGCATGAACCGAGCAGTTGATGTGTCTTGCTATGGCTTCAGTACCGTGAGTTTGGGTCCTGTTCTGGACTCAGGCCAAGACTGTCACAAGGCAAACCAATTGTAAATGGAGACCTGGACTTTCAGGCTAGGATATTAATGTGCTAAATGTGATGCTAATTACATAATTTCAACGAGTGATTAATGAGAGTAATGACACTAGCTTGATGGGTCATTCAGTTAGGGCAGACCTTTGATTTTTTTTTGATTTTTTTTTGGATTGACTTCAGATATTCTAGGACATAAGAGCATGAGCACAAACAAATCCAGAAGTAACAGCCAAGGAGTATTAGGATGGAGAATAGATTTCACATATACAGTCCTGTCACAGTTCAGCTACTTGAAATTTAAGACAGAGCAGTGAATTTCACTTGCAACTTAGAGAAATTAATTCCCCAAAGGGTTAAGTGAATTACATATGGAAATCTCATTACCATCAGTGTTCCAAGCGGAGCTTTGGAACAGATTCTGTACATGGCAAAAATCAATTTTAGAGTGAGGTCTTTTTTTTTTACTTGTACCTGTGCAAAGATTCTATTCAGCTGAGCTCCTTTAGGACAGTTCTGCCATTTTGTCCAAAAAAAAAAATGGACAGGATATTTTTATTCCTGGGCGTAAACCTTACAAACCAAGAAAACAGGGTGCAACAGTAAGCAAACATTTTAACCCTGGGAACAGAAGCACAGACACATTAATTACTACTGAAATACAAAAATGAAAGATTGGAAATTACTAAACCAAAGAGAAACACATATTTTGTATTCTAGGTACTGCTACTTACAAGTAAAGTATATTTAAGTCATCACAATCCTGCATCAGCCACTGGAGGACTAGGGATTCTTTCCATCCCCCATATCTATTTTTTAATGAACTTGGAGAGGCTGATAGTTTTTAAGTGCATGTGTGTGGTCATGTGTGTTAACATATGCAACAACATGAGCAAAAGTACTGAAAATTATGTGCATTTTATAAAGACTCCATACCCACATAAATAACTTTAAAGTATGCAATAGTAACTGTGACCTAGTCATCACATCTCTCTTTTTTATTTAAGGTGCTAACATCTATCATGATGAACTCAATGCATCAATTAGGATGTCAGGCCTTTTACAGAACATCCACTATAATTCAGCATTTATTAGCTGGACCATTATGTGAGAGCATCAGTTGTGACTAGAAAGGTCATTCAAAACACTGAGATTGAAACGACACCTTCAGTTTAACTCGATGATAAATAGTGAAGAATGCCTTTAGTCCCTGTTAATAAAAGATGGAAATGGGGATGATTCAAAGTGCAGAAGCATTCCTGATTCATTTGTCATAACCAATGAATTATGTCATCTCGCCTTCTATTTTTCAATTGTAACAGAGAATTCTTGAATACCCAATAGGACATAACCCCTATTTTAATTCAGAAAAGTCATCCATGATGGAATAATAATGATTCCTCATTTTTTGGTAATATTTGTGCTTTGATAAAAAGTTTTAGGACTTGATGTGCTGAAAGATAATGTCTTTGAAAAGCTAAGTGACTCTCCAGTCAGTAAATGCCTTGTTGAATTATCCTCGCTTCTGTACATAAAGTGACAAACAAGGTTCTTTAAGAGCTCTTCCACATCAACAAGAAACTGTTTTACCCATCATTCTGAAAAGAAGGTGGCTGTGGCAGAGGGCTTAATCATGCAAAGTGCCAAGGTGGAGCACTGAGTATTCTGTAGGACTTTGCCTACAACTGTCCCCAAAGTTTCAAAAAAAATTAAAAATGCTGCAGGCAGGTGTGCTGCATGTAATTATCAGATTTTTGTCTGCCATTCAATTGTGGATTATGCAGAAAAAACTATTTTCCTCACAAACATCAGTTCATATTATATCTAGAATATATAGACAAGCCAACTGCACACCTTAACTTCATGCTGACTTTATGGGGATTTAACAGTAACACATGGTTTCTCACCAAATAGTTATAACAAAAATAAATATCTGTTTAGTATGCAAGACTGCTGTCATCCACACTAGGCTACAAACAGAAAAATCAAGTCTAACCTAAATGTCTGTGCTCTTATAAAACCTCTAAGTCCTACTACTCAAATTCATTCACGTTCAATACATGTGATCTCCTCGAGTGCCGCACTTGTTTCTGAAGTGTGCTAACAACATTAAACATTTTTCTTCATGATGCAAAGTGGGGCAAAATATTTTACTGGCATAAGTAGTCTTAAAAAGCCAATTGTCATATAATCTTACGTGCAAATCACATGCAGTACCTCTAGGCTGATGAAAATTCAATTTGGCAGTAAAGCAATATTCACCAAAATAACTTTCATTCTGGAAAAATATAAATGTTATTGACACGATGCAGAGAAATCTTTCAGAGTATACAATAATTCAGTAGGAAGCTGCTCCATATAGTTTTTGCTTTTAAACAGCACAATAAAAGCCATTAGAGGCATTCGCCTTTGAACTGTTTGCAGTGCACATGTAATGTAGGTAATATGCAGCAACATTATGTTAATGCAACAAAAGCTTCAAAACAACAATTTTCCTACCTTGTCTGCCATTATCATGGAGGACCCACCATGAATTCCAAGAATTGGAATAAAGGTCTGAGATGAAATAAAATCCAAAATCTGGGCTATCGCCTCCTGATCAGTATCATCTCCAAAAACCACCCCATGGATCTTGGTGCCTGACATCAAGTCGCAAACATGTGTTATAATGCTTTTAGGGTCAGTCTGGTTCACCAGAAGGGTCACTACATTGACATCAATGGCCAGGTCTGCTGACATTTCCCTGGTCCAGAGAGCTCGGATGTCTCTCTCCGTGATATACTTCGTCCTTCCCAGAATCACTGCAATGTTCAGGATGGGATAACTTTTCTCTGCTCCGCAAACAAGATCCAATTGCACCAGTAGAGCTTGGAGTACCAGGAGAGCATAGCCAAGTTTCCCCATCTTTGCCAGGTTTATCCCCTGTAGAAGTGATCACATTGTATTGAGAGAGAAAAAAAAAGCAAAGCACACTTACGTAGTCTCCTACCAGGCTTTTCATGCAAAACATCTGCACAAGGCATCCTTTAGCCATTCTCTTAGATAGGCTGTTTACTGTAACCTTAATATTGACTTCATTTTAGCCCCCTCCCCCCCAAACAATAGCTCTGCAATGACAGCACTGACTTTTCACCAGGAAGCTGGAAAAGTGCAGCACAAGATCTGGGGAAAGACATACTTACTGCTTCCAATCTAGTTAACATAAGTTAAATAACAATTAGCATGGGACAGACCTGTGTTTTTCTTACACTTCACCAAAATTTACAAACCGTCACCAAAAAAAGCAGGTAAGAAACTAGGAAGGAGACTCACCTTTCCTTAAAATGCTGCGCACACAGAGAAGTGTGCTGACAACCCGCACCCACATGCCCCATCTGTCTGTCTTTGTATCCCAGAATTGTGCATTTTTAGTTTCCAGCCTCTCAGATGGCTGCAACTCATGAATAACGACTTCATTTCTGGAACAGGTTCAGAGACACTACCCCCCCCCCCGCATTCACTTCAAGTCCTCCACACTGGGGATCTCAGGGAACCGGGCTGTCACTGGGGCTGGAGGAAAGGTGTTCAGTGAAAGCACCTCTGCACTGAAACTGCCTTTTGTGTCCACAGCAGCTCCTTACGGGCTAAAGATGAGGAGGCAGGTGGGCAGGGAGGGGGAAGAAGAGCAGATGATGAGAGTGAGCTGAACATCACCCCCTAAACGCGGGGGAGGGCCCGGGCTCCCTCGTGTCTGTTTTGGCCGGGGATGGCACTGCCCACACACAGCTCGGCTGCGAAGCGTCATGCAGCAAACACCAGCAGCGCTGCCCGAGCGGCGCCCGCGTTGTTCAGGTCTCTCCCACTGCCCACCCGGTCTCCATCGTGCCTCGGGATCTGGCCCCTCGTCTGCCGCTGGCTACCAGCCAGACCCGGCCCCTGCCCCTGCCCCTGCCCCTGCCCCTGCCCGGGGGTGGGAAGCAGCACGGGGCTTTCCGAGGCAGCTCCGAGGGCTGCTCCCTACTCCCGCAGGGTTAGAGAGAAATCACCCCAGCCCCCTGCAGCTGCGGAGCTGTTTCCTCCGCTCCCGGCCTCGGGAACGAGGGGCATTTCTGACATGCGACCTGGCTGCGCCTCACAAGCCGCGCCGCATGGGGAAGCGTGACCGGCGGCGGTGACAGTTGTAGGCGCGCGCGCAGCCCGGCGGGAGGCTCAGCCTACTACGTAGGAGCGCCGCACAGAATCCCCTCCATTCATCGCGGCGGCCCAGCGAAGGGCAACAGCGCCCCCCGGTGGTCTCGCAGCGCCCGCCCTCGCGACACAAACTTTTCAAACGTACCAGAAATGTCACACGACGGAGTTGCTGCTGCTTGGCATGTTGCAAACTTTGGCATCTCGCAGTCCTCAACTCCACGGGTTAGAGGGTGCCGCCATCCTCCTTTCCAAACGCATGATGCTGGCTGCAGCTTGCAGTCCCCATCGCATCCAAGGGGGGCAGCTATGCGAGCAGGAGGATATGGAAAGGGGGTCTGCAAAACGAAGGGAAGGAGAAGGGTTAACGGGGTTGCAGGAACGGGGGAGAAAAGAAGATGGAGGTCAACCATTAGTCGGACTGAAGGTGGGCTTGAACCCCAAACCCTGGCGGACGTGCCGGAGGTGTCACGCCAATAAAGTTGGTGTTTCATTTTACGGAAAAATAAATTCCAGATCGTCACCAGCACAAGCCAGAGTGTGGGCAGCTTCCCTGAAAATCCTCTCCCTCCTCCCCAGGC